CCACCCCGCGCCCCTGCCGGTCACTCTCACCGCTCCGCGGTAAAACAACGCAACTTCGACGGAAGACACAGGGCACGTATGCGGTTTCATCTTAGGAAGGATGCGCACCACTCACGCTCCGCGCCGCGCCACCAAACAATTTCAAAACAGATAGAACAATCTCATTCACTCTTTTTTTCTTGCGCACCCCCCCCCCCCCCCCCCNCCCCCCCCCCTCCCGATTTTGGGTATCTCCCTTTTACCTGTGGTTTTTTACATGGTTCCAGGTCTCGCTTCTCTCTGTCGCTCACACCTTGGCGCTCTCGGTTCCTCCTCTGGGCTTCCTTCTTTTCGGATTTTCTCCGAATTCGGACTCCAGATTTGTTTTACCTATGGCTGCGAGCCTCACAATCGACGCGGCTTTCGTGTGAGAATTTGTGTTTTAGAAAAGAAAATTTAAAATCAACTTTAAGCGGGGAACCACGAAAACCGTTTTCGATGCATCCGTGCTGAGGAAGAACGCCGTATAAACCTTCAGGCGTTGCCAAATTTCATTTGATAAAGCACAAATTTCCTGGTAAACTTATGAATGTTTTCCTTCCAATTTTTCAGATGATTTTGTTTGCGATTTCACCTAAAGTTCTTGAAAATTTCATGGAAAAATATTAATAACTTTCCTAACAAATAAGCATTTTATTGGAGGACATTTGGCAACCATCGAATGTTCATACGGCGTTTTTCCCTAGCACAGTAGTATTCCTATGAGGAGTAAAAATCAATGGGCGTGTTTTGCGTGACAGATAATTATTGAGTTCGGAGGAGGGCTCTACTTTCAGAGTTACACCAAGAAGCATTGGTCCAAATTTCTTGGTCCTAAATCTCCGGTCGTAAAGTTGGTGTCAACGTGCTCTTTTTTCTCTCATTTTCTTCTTATCGGTAAACGTGCACAAGCTGTTACATGCAACTTTTAATACTCCCCAGCGCTCTGCTCGCCTGTTAAGTTTTTGGAGGCGAACTGGTCAGAACGAGCGCAAAATGGTGTGAAAAGATGGTCACATTTAAAAGCAACAGCGACTGAAACCACAGGAGCGTGAATGCGTGATTAAAGTGACGAAAGCAACAGAACTATTAATGCTCCTGAAGCGTCCAAATTGCCTGTCAAATTTGTGAAGGCGAACTGGCCTGACTAAGCGTAAAGCATCGCGAGTAAAGTAACTGCATGTGCTCTTTCTATAAGAACCGAATGAACAATGGTCAAACTAGTGCAAACAACTATTACTGTTCCGAAGCCAATCAAATTATCTGTCAAACTTTTGAAGGCGAACCCGTCTGAGTGAGCTCAAAACCCTTTTCTATGAGGAATTGAATTTTCCAGGAAGCCCTCTCCTCAAATGTGCTCTGATCCGTCATTGCGCTATGTCGATGCCCCTCCCTCCCTCTTGATTCTTCGTCGCACTGAGGAATTCTCAGACTTCGGACTCGCAGGGCAAAAGACAATATCGGCTACTCTTGACCTTTGGCA